AAGATTAAAATTATTCCCTTTAAAGATTAAAATCACAAGTCAATGGTGTAATTTTCCCCTTTAAAATCAGCAGTGAGACCAGGCTGTCTGCTTTCCCCACCAAAATTAGTACATGAAGGTTCATAGAAAATTTATTTTGGCCGGACGCAGTGGCTCACTCCTGTAATCCCATCACTTTGGGAGGCTGAGGTGGGTGGATCACAAGGTCAGAAGTTGAAGACCAGCCTGGCCAAGATGGTGAAACTGTGTCTCTACTAAAAAATACAAAAATTAGCCGGGCATGGTGGCAGGCGCCTGTAATTCCAGCTACTTGGGAGGATGAGGCAGGAGAATTGCTTGAACCCAGGCAGCAGAGGTTGCAGTGAGCCAAGATCTTGCCACTGCACTCCAACCTGGGTGATAGAGTGAGACTCCATCTCAAAAAGATAAAAAAAAAATTTTTTTGTAATGAGCAAAAATTAGAAAGAACCCCAGTGTCCGTCAACTGGTGAACAGACAGGCACATTATGGTATGCCCATCCGGAATACTACTCAGCAAGAAAAAAGCAGTGAACTACTGATACTTCCAACAATATGCATGAACCTCCAGAGCACGATGCTAAGTAAAAGAAGACACAGACTACATCGTCTATAGCTTGTGTGATTCCATTTATATGAAATTCTACAAGAGGGCAGAACTCTAGAGAAAGAAAGCAGATTAGCAGTTGTCGAGGGGAAGGGTGGGGGGAGGAGATGGACAGCAAAGGGACATGGGGAACCTCACAGACTGACGGAAATGTTTACATCGCAAATTAGGGAGCTGGTACACACCTATGAACGCAGCTGCGAAAACATCTAATTATATACCTAGAATAGGTGAATTGTATTGAACCTCAATAAAGCTGACAGGAGGGAGAGAAGGAGAGACGGAAGGAGAGGAGGAGGAAGAGAAGGAAAGCGGAAACTGACCACATGGACCCAGCCGTCACCCGTGGAATGGATAAATGGATGTATCGACAGTGCAGGGAGCTGGGAGGATGCTTACAGCAGAAATCCTTCTTCCTATTAGAAGCCCAAACTTTAGGGGAGCACATAACCAAAACAACCAAACTTACATTTTCCCTGATCCATACAGCTAAGTACAACCACATTGCTTCGGACGACAGGCTGAGTTACAGCCAGCAGGAAACAGTGGAAGTGCTACGAGCAGCTGCTGGGGGTACGGCTTCTCGTCCCATGTCTTATTATCCCTGGAATGCAAATGTGATGACGAGTGCTAAGGCAGCCACCTTGGACCATGAGGTCAAAGCCAAGCACAGAGGAGCAACCAATGTGGTGACAATGTGGAGACAGTAATAGAGTTCTATCCTGTGAAGCCACGATTATTACACATTTGCCATCACTTGTAGATGTATTCACATCTAACCTCTACACCTCTACCATGCCAGAAACCATAACTCAATTTTTCCTACTGGCCAATACAAGACAGACTTTTCTTTTCCCTGCTGAGACAAAGTCTCGCTCTGTCACCCAGGCTGGAGTACAGCGGTGAGATCTCAGCTCACTGCAGCCTCTGCCTCCCGGGTTCAAGCAATTTTCCTGCCTCAGCCTCCTCAGTAGCTGGGACTACAGGTACACGCCACCATGCCCAGCTAATTTTTGTATTTTTCATAGAGATGGAGTTCCGCCATGTTTGCCAGGCTGGTCTGGAACTCCTGACCTCGGCTGATCTGCTCCCCTTGACCTCCCAAAGCGCTGGGATTACAGGCATGAGCCACTGCGCCCGGCCAAGGCACACATTTCAATATTCTCCTGAAGTCCTCTGCCTATCATTTCATTTCCACACACACACAGGCCGTGCTCAGGTGACCTACTCTTCACACTCTGCCAGCCTGCAGGAGCCTGGCTCTCCCAGAAGCCAGCCCATCTACCTTCCAGGCTGATCCACTCTGCAAGCCTTGCTGAGCTGGGTCCCGGAGAGCATCAACACCCCGGGGAGACCATGTGGGAGCTGAGTAAGACCGACTGGGTGTGAAAGGAAACCGAATCGTGAAAACCCAAGCTCAGTAAGCCAAAGGGAACGGTCAAGCTGGGAACTGGGGCATGCAAACCTGCCTATCCCTTTGGTTCCAAAGATAAGATGGCTACAAGATGAAGCAACATGCCTCCCCCTTATTTTGCCCACAAGGAAATTCCTAGTGAGCTGCAAGATCTTTTACGGTGTTTCTGTTAAGGTGTCACCACAGCAAGGCAAATGGATAGCTTATCCTTACAAGTACAGTCACCCCCAGCCCACCAGACACAAATGTGTATCTGATTGTTCCCCATTTTGTCTAGGTTATCTTACGTAAAGTGCAGATTCCCTGCATTTTTCCTCTGCTCCATTTGTCTGTGTCTTAGGTTTAAAAAAAAAAAAAATGCAGATTGACTGAGCCAGACAAAGGCATGAACGACTATTTTTCTCTATCTCCCTCTTACATGAAAAATTGTGTACTTCTCAATATCTAGCCCTTTCCCCTTTAAATTCAGAGCCCTCAAAATCATCTTGGGAGAAAGGCATGGACCTGTCTCCCAGGCGTGTGTCCTTACTTTTGACAAATAAACCTCCTAAAATGATTAAGAGTGGTCTCATTGTTTTTCTCAATTGACAGGGGAGGCTTTCCAAAGCAACAGCTCAAAGCCCAGGAGGTCACAGACAAGAGGACCAACTGCCATCACTAGCACGCGACTCAGTGTCCACACTCTGAGACGGAAGCGCCTGAGAGGTCAGCTGCACAAAGAATGTGTCAAGTGGTAGGAAAAAGTAAGTCAGAATACACCAAAGGTCCTGTGGCAGACTCTATTTCCCATTTTAAAAATCATAAGTAAAAAGGAAGTTATAATAAATCACCTCATTTTCCAGATATGATTAGCACAACTGCTGAAAAGGACAATCAAAGAGAAGTGTCTCAGAATGACTACTGCTGGAAACTGATTTTCTCTTTTTGTATTCTATAATCTCTAAGTACTTCGCTTTAACAATCTTGGATTTTTTTAACAGACTTACTGCACAGACAAGAAATGTCAAAGCTTAAAGGTACATTTACTGAAGCAATCAACATGCAAAACAAAATATTTCTAACAATAAAAAAAATTCAGCTTTAAAGAGAGAACATTTACTATAACAAGAAAAAAATGATAACTAAGAATAAATCTAATAAAACATGTGAGGCAGGAGAATAGGGTCTGGAGGCAGGAACCTAAGGCCAATTCACACCAACTTCTTAGAACTAAATCAAAAGGAAAACCCCACTTTCAAGCCCAGGTAACAAAAGAATCAGAGGCAACCCACCCCTTCTCTGCATGGCAGATGAAAAACTGAAAGTATCTCTGATTGATCCCCTTCAACAACCAATCAGGCTGGTCCCAGGCCAGGTCTTCCTTTGCACAACATTGTAAATTTGTGACTTCACTTCAGCCTCTGATTGGCCACTTTCTGCAACCCATCACACACTTGCACGGGGTGTTTTATAACTTCACTTCAGCCTCTCATTGGTTGCAGAAAGCAACCAATCAGACTGATCGTGGGCCACTACTTCATTGACACAGGGTGTACACCAAGTAACCAATGGGAAACCTCTAGAAGGTATTTAGACCCCAGAAAATTGTGTAACCAGGCCCTTGAGCTGCTTGCCCAGGCTTGTTCCATAAATCTCATGCTTCATTCTTCCCTTGCCTTGTTTGTGCATTTTGTCCAATTCTTTGTTCAAGCTGCCAAGAACCTGGACACCCTCCACCGGTAACACTTGTACAGGACCCTTCAGGGAGAAAATTTGAAAACTTCACTGAAAAGCATTAAAAATGACTTTTAAAAGAGGAACTAGCATGTTCATGAAAATGAATATTTAATTTCATAAAGCTATCCACTCTCCCAAACTAAAAATTGTCTTTTCTGACCCCTGACTTTCCATGCAATGAAAGATTCCATGCAATTCCAACCATAAACCAAACAAATCTAAAAAACAAAAACACAAGTGAAAGACCTTGGCAAAATGACTCTGAGAACTATGTAGAAGAGCAAGGGGTGGGACTGCCCAGTTCCTGGCGAAGAGGAAACCCACAGGTGGTGCATGCCCACAACAGGCAGCAGGACGTCATGAGGCTAAATTACTTGTAGGGTGCAATATGAAGGGAAGACCACCTAAACACTGGGGCAAAACCCAACACAACGCAGATCTACGTGAATGTGGCAGTGACAGAAAACAGAAGTGACATCACAAATGTAGAAAATAAAAAGTTCTTCTTCAAAGCTTTCCTCTTAATTGATTATAAATCATAGCTTCTTTAAAAGTTAACTTACTGCAGCCTGGCAAACATGGCAAAACCCCATCTCTATAGAAAATACAAAAATTAGCTGGGCGTGGTGGTGGGCACCTGTAATCCCAGCTAGTTGGGAGGCTCAGGCAAAAGAGTCACCTGAACCTAGGAAGTGTAGGTTGCAGTGAGCTGAGATCATACCACTACACTCCAGCCTGGGTGACAGAGCAAGACTCAGTCTCTGAATGAATGAATGAATGAAAAAACAAGAGGCAGAGACCAGACTAGAGAAAGAGTGATGCAGCTCCAGAAGACCCAAATTAAATTCACACATTGTGTTCCTACTGTCACATGACATGAATGAAAGTCACAAAGAATCGTAAACCTAAAAGGCAAGACAGTGTCATCCAGGTAGGGGTTTCAAGGGGAGCAGGGGGTACACGGCAGCCTCAGTGCTCTGGGTCAGGCCTGAGTTCATGGCCATGTGTGCAGCTAAGTAGCAATGATGGCGTTCTAGCTCCTAAATCTGGCAGTGGATCATGAGTGCATACATCCACACATATGAATTACATACAGTCTTTGGCGTGTGACAATATTATACAGTAAAAATATTTAAAGAACAAATGAGCGTCCCATCAGCAACTGTGAACACAAGGGCCAGGCGCAGCAGCAGTTCGCCTGGGAGCCACTCCCAACAAGGCAAGCTCCCACCAAGAGCTTCTTACCTCTGTCACCTTGGGCTGCAGGATCAGCGCTTCAGGGCTCATGCGAGGGATGTCTATGTGGATCTGGAGAAGCAGGAGAAACAGATATGTATGTTACATGACAACAAACACACTGCAAGCGTTATGACTAAAACAGCAACACTGAGGGACGTCCTTCCCCTGCCTTTACCCTGCTCTCTCCTCGAGGATTCTCGTTCTCTACGCTACCACGATCTCCCCCGAAGGAGGCATACAAAGCCTGCTCCCTCTGAACAGCTCGCCCAGTCCTAGGTGACAGGCTTGCCTGACACTGTCCCCGCCCAGCAGCCACTGCTGCGTGATGAGGAACAGAGCAGGCCTCGGATGCTTAGTAACATCAGCCACAGCAATTAGTAAACATCGATTTTCAGCCTCTGACACAGGAGCAATTCAAGTACGTCAATAGTTGACAAGTTTTCAGCTGCGACAGCTTCTTCTTGGACAGAGGCCACATTTTTCTCCACTTTATGAAGTCCTGGGGGAATCTAGAACATTTTTCAAAGGAAGCATTTGAAAGACTCAGTTAGTGTCAGCTGGTTCCTGCTTGGCCACCATCTGACATGAGAGTTATAATGAAGTCCCCAACACTGCAGAGGACACTTGTGCCCCAGAAGAAGCCAAACCAGAGTGCTGTGAGCTCGAGCTGGCTCCCAGCATCCCACGCGAACTTCTCGTACTAGCCCACACTCCCGTTTGTCCGGGACAGTGGCTCCAGTGGGCTGAGGGAAGATAAACGCATTTTCATGCCAAGGGAGACGCTACAATTGCATTTCATTTCACCCCATCCTTGCACATCCCCACAGAGGACCCTCACACCCAGGAGGCTGGGACACCGTCACTCTGCCATTTACCACACTGTGGCCGGGCCTCAGTTTCCTTGTCGACAAAACGGCCGCTCCAAGTATCTCAAAGGTTACTGGTAAACATCAAGTAAGATTGTGAGTCAACAGCCAAATGGATTAAGCTGAAATGCACACACATCTGAGATGCAGGCCAAAGGAGGCCTGCCAGCAGCAGTGCTACTGAAGAGGAGGGGGAGATGGGGGGGGGACAAGGGGGACGAAGGGGGGAACCAGGAGGAGGGAGAGGGGACATGGAGGAGACAGAAGTGGCACTACTCTATCCAGAGAGGCAGAGCCAAAGGACTGCAGCCAGCCACATGCAAGAGCCCAGGTGCCAGCAGGGATAAGGGCCCAGGTCTGTCATCAGGGAGTCCTGGAGGGCTGTCTGTTCCCATACAGTTACACTCGTGTGGACACACACCCATCCCCAGCATGAGCAGCATAAGCTGCTGCAGGGCAGGAACCAGGTCTGAGCCACCTCTACATGCCCAGGGCCAGCACAGCCCCTTACGTAAAAGATCCTGTCACACATTTATGAAGGAGAGAAGGCAGCATCCACCAGATCCCACACCTGCCATCCTCCCCATCATCAGGAGAGGCTCCAACATTAGAGAGACGGCCCTCCACAAGGCTGAGCAGGTAGGGCTCTGTGCACCCCTCCTTCCATCCCGCCTGCCCCCATCAAACACAGAACTGGGCACAAAGGAAAAAGACCACAACAGAGTTGACTGAGGGAGGAAAAGGCAGACCAGACCAATATTTCACTCTGACTCCATACGGCTCTCCACGCGGCTTTGACATAACATCTTCAGCAGAAGAGTGAGCACATACAAATCAGATGAAGAAGGATGGAAAGCAAGTGGGGAACCTGCCGAAGCCACCCCCTCCTACTGCCTCCACCTGTGTGCAGGGGCAGACCGCCAGTCAGGCTCAGTCCATGGGTCAAACGCCCAACTGGACAGCAAGGAGAAACCAGGGTCCCCAAACCCCATCGGGCCCAGCTCTGCCTGAAATGGCGATGGCGAGAAAGAAGGCGCAGTTCCAAGAGGCCTCGAAGCATTAGGCAGGGAGGAAAAACAACTGCGTTACAGCACACGTCTCATCTATACTAATGTAGAAACAGTGTGGGAATTCACAATAGTATGGAATCTTTTTATTACCTATCACAGTAACTAAATAAAGATGTATGCAGCCTGTGCGTAATTAACTTTCTCTTCAAAAACTCGGAACAGAATTCCACTTGGTAAAACTCGCAGATAGATGCTAGTGTCATCCTTTGGAAATCATTTTCTGAAATTAAAATGCATTAAAAAACGCACTCAAAACAATGCCAAATTTATTAATTTCCTAAAACCGGTGCAGTGGCAAAAGAGACCAGGTAAGCTAATATTTCCTTAAGCAAATCCAAAGTAATCTGTGTATCAAGTCAGTTTCCCAGAGTAACTGGGTGGTGGCCCAGTGCAGCCCAGGAGCCCCGGTGCCAGGCAGAAGGCACCACAGGCCAGTGGGAGCTCCGGCCAGGAAGGCAACAGAGGCAGCCATTGCTCCAGCCTCATTCCTAAGCAAGTCACTTTTCCTCCTACAGCCCTGTGTCCCATCTGTCTTGGAAGATGCTGACCAGGAATGCATTTAACTTAAAGAATCTTTGATTACGTAACAGAGGTAAGGCGTATCTTTGGACTTTTTTTTTTTTAACAGATAAAACAAAGAGATGTGGATATCCCACGTCTGAGAGGGGAAAATGTGGCAAAGCTCCTTCACCTAGAAGTAGGGTTTGCAGAGGGAGATATTCCTGGCATGCCTCGGGAAACCCAGAAGCTGCTTTCAGATATCTGAGACAATAGTACCAATTAAGAACTACCATTTTGACCTTTCACATATTACAAAGAGAATGAGAATTATACGGTCCTCAAAGAGCTATTCTAACAGCAAATTCTGGATGTACTGTGAATCATAAATCAATTTTAAGTATTTTCCCATTATGGATATCATCTGTCAACTGACTATTTAAGAAACTATAATTAGACACATTTTATATTAAACTAAATAGCAAAATGGTAACTTGGCTGCACCTTCTGCTGTGGTCTGAAATGTGTCCCCCACAAACCCAAGCTGATTAACACACCTTTCCTGGGTCGGTATCATGTCCCTAGCTGGACCAAAGAACCCAGCGTCAGCAGCCCCCATGCCACCTCTCTGTCCTGATGCCTGGGCCTGGGCCTTCAGAAATGGCCTTTTATTACCAGATAGCAGCTCACGATGACACAAACTCCCACCATCACCCTAAGGCAGGTCGCAGGAGTCCAAGGCATTTATTTTACAACCTCAATTTAAAATACTCTTTTTTACTTTTGTAGAGAGAACTGAAGACAAGCAAGGTAGTACTATTGGAAGAAATTTTCCATTATTTGTTTTACAATTTATTAGAAAAGAAAAATCTGTGAGCTAATCAGGGACCTGCATCTTTAACTCTGACCAACTCCACATGGTTTTGATAAAAACATTTCCTCCTATAAATCACACGGAAGCAAAGTACTTCAGGTAACACACGAAAGAGAGAAAGGGTTCCCACCTGCCTGTACGTGTCCTGGTGAACTTCGTCGTTCCTCGAATGGTAATAGTGTTCAATAAATGCAAAATACTCTTTTTGTTTTCTCTGGAGAGTGGCTGGTCTCCGGTCTACGTTGGCAGGAAGGTAACCCTGGGTGAGAAATAAAAAACAAACAATATACAAGGTCATAGTTAATTCATGGAGTCCCTATGAGAAGTGCGAACTAAAAAGGCTTGCACCCTACCTGAAGGTGACGTTCTGAAATCTGATACAAAGGGGAGCACAAATTGTGGGAAAACAGAAACACACAGAGACGGTCAGCCAGCTGAACCCCACGCAGGCAGCACTCCCGACAGCACTGAGGAAGGGGCCAGGGCTTGCGTCCGCAGCCTCCCAGTGCAGGCCCTCTTCACTCAGCCGGACAGGAGTCGCTCAGGCTCTGCAGCAGGTGAGCCCTAGGCCCTTCTACAGCAGGGCTGCGTGATGAGACAAGCCCTTCTCTGTTGGCCTCATACACCAGGAAGGATTCCAAAGTCTCAACAGTCTTCTACCAGCAACCACACACACACATATACACATATACATGTATACATGCACGCATATACACACATACATGTGTACGTAAATGTGCTGCTGTCTTCAAACACTCGTGGGCCTGTGAGAGCTGCGTCCCAGTACGTAAAGGGGACTTGACCTCAGATAGGGCCAGCCAGCACAAGGAGGTCATGAAGAAGCTGATTCCTGGTCCCGACGGTCCAGGGTTTCATGTTTTCTTTGCCTTGTTTCTACTTTTTAACTTGACATTATTGACAATATATAGTTGCCCCTAAGTGTCCTTGGGGGATACCAACATTCTTAGCTGCTCAAGACCCTTGTATAAAATGTCGTAGTATTTGCATGTAACCTATGCAGGTCTGCCTGAGTACTTTAATACTGTATGACACCTGACACAGGGTAAATACTACGTAAACAGTTGTTAGACTGTGTTGTTATTTATACTAACCTTGGTTGCATTATTACTTTTCATTGGGTCTTTTTCCAAATATTTTCCATGCACAGTTGGTTGAATCTGCAGATGCAAAACCTCCAGATATAAATGGCCAACTCTAATTTATAAAATAAGTGTGCCCATTTTAGCCAATCAGTTGGGTGGCTTTTGACAAGGGTACCCAGCTATGTAACTCCTACTCCAAGGAAGATACAGACACCCTTCCATTCTCCCGCCCCCGTAGGCTTCCCAGTACCCTCTAGCAGCCTGTCCCAACCCTGGCCAAGGAGGCGCTCACCTCGTCACTGTGCATGGCTGAGCCTGACTTAGAACTCTCTAGAAATGGAGTCACTCAGGACCTACACTGTACGCAAGCTTTTCCTTCGCTCGGCAGCAGAGCGTCTTCTGAGATGCCTCCAAGTTACATGAATCAGCTGCAATTTCCTTTCCCTAGCTGTGTCCATCGTATGGATCCACCAGTTTGTTAAAGGTTCACCTGTCAATGAACATGTGCGCTGTTTCCGGTTTGGGGTTTGTTATATTCTTGCACAAGAGTTTTGTTGGCATACGCTTTGGCTTTTCATGGTTGAATACCCAGGAGTAGAGTTACCGGGTCATAATATTGGTGTATGTTTAGTTTTTGTTTTTTTTTTTTTTTTTTTTTTTTTTTTTTTTTTTTTTTTTT